GGCAAGCAGAACCTGAATTGGAGGGAAATCGACGCTAGGTAGCAAACCTAGAATCGCCATCGCCACTAGATTGTAAACCCAGATCTCCGGTGAGGCAACGAACGGAAACGAAAGGGATTTGGAGTGGGAGAGGAGGGTGATGCGACCTTCAATCTACCTTGCCGCAAACCCATATCTCCGACGACCCAGCGGGCTATAACGAAAGGGATTTGGACTGGGATAGGAGGGCGACGCCACCGCTAATCAGCCATGCTGCAATCCTCGTCAGCCCTCGAGTCATCGACCGAACCAATCCTCATGGATGTTCTCGTCAGAGGAGTGTGAACAGAATGAGTTTGGGCGGTGGAGGGTGAACAGAATGAGTTTGGGCGGTGGAGGGTTGTGTCGCAGAGGCGGGAGGAGGATAGCTGTCGGCGTAAAAAAAAGGAAGAAGGAAAGAAACGACGAAACAGGGGAGGCCTAAGGGCACAACTTGGAAAAGATGAGGAAAAAATGAGGGATTGTGAAATAGCTGGTCCTTATTAGCTATTTTAAAAACCTGCATCTGAGAGATTTGAAAATCTCTTATGCTTACAATTTCTTATCCTCCCAAACACATGATTGTATTAAAATCTTGCATAATGAGTGATTGTTTTAAAATTCCTCACAAATCACTCACTACAAACCTTCATCCAAACGGCCCCTCCGATTAAAGTTCAATTGCAGATTTACGGCAGCGACATGTTTTTTTTTTTTTTTTTCCTTAGGAGGCGACTGGGGAGGGTAGGTGAGGGACCGAATCAGGTCAGTAACTCACCCATCAGTAATTGTCAGTAATCCAATCATTTGTTTTCACGTGTCAACTTTTTTCTTTTATTTAAATTAAACACGGAGGAGCACTAAGGTAAATAGCACCCCCTATTTAATGCTGACGCTGACTTTTTGAGCAGACGCGGATCCCACCCTACACTGGTTTCCCTCTCTCACTCTGTTTTATTATTAAAAGAAAAAATATATTAGTTATTCTCTCTCTCATATACAACAAAAATGAATCTAACCATTCTAGTTATATTTGTTCTAATTCCATCACAAATTGAATAATGATTTTTTCGTAAAATGATTCAGTGCTAAAGATAGTAATAAGAAGTATAAATATGATTATCACTTTCTATTATCATGGTAAAACATGGTAAATATGTTGAAGAAAATTACAAATCTAACTATGATACAATACCACATGGTATAACGTGGTAAAACATGCTACAGAAATTTACAAATCTAATTACCATACCATACTATATGGTATAACATGCTAAAATAAAATTACAAATCCAACTACCACCACATGGTATAACATGGTAAAACAGGTTACAAAAAATTATAAATATAATTATCATTCAATACCACCATAGTAGAACATGGTTAATCGAATGAACACAAATTAATTGTAATTATCATACAATACCACATGGCATGAGAAGGTAAAACCATGAGAAAATAATATAAATCTAATTACAACCCTCTACGATCATAGAAAAACATTATATACATAAAAATACATTTCGTTATCACACTTTACCATATGGTATAGACACATTACCATATGGTATAGTGTGGTAATCTCAATATATATATATATATACATACAATTACGACTCTCTTCACTTTCTTCTCCCACTTCATTGTCTTCTTACTCTTCTTTCTCGGAACTGTTGTCGATTACCACCCACTACCATCATGATAAAACTCGTGACCATAAAAATACATTTAGTTAGCACACATTACCATATGGTATAGTGTGTTAATATCAATATATATTACCTAAAAGAAGGAAGAAAAACAGAATGAGGGAGAGAAAAAAAAACTCGCCTTCTGTCTCTTCTCGTTTCCTCTTCTACAATCAAGAACACCAAATGCCAAAAAAAGAGGAGGAAGATCGGAATTGAAAATTCACAAACAAATACTAAAACATAAAACATGCAAACTCGACTCACCTAGATCTGTCCCCTCTTGGTCAATATGGAGCATCATCTATTTTGAGTCCGAGAAAAGAAAGAATAGAAGGAAGGAGTAGATCGAGAAAATAAGGATTTGGAGTGTCACCAAATTTGAGAGGGGAGGCTGCAATTTTTTTCTTTGTCGATTGGAGAAAAAAATGAAGAACAAGAGAAGGGAACAGATCTAGATCTGGAAAAAGGTGTTTGGAAGAGAGAATGAAGAGAGAAAGAGAAAGAAAATGAGAAATGAAGAAATCTGGATTTTCTCTTTCCTCAATTAAAAACCAGCATATAAATACTGAAAAGAAATAAAATTTAAAAAATCAGACAAAAATGGCCCTCCCCCACCTCGCGTCAATATTAGCCACACAATGCTTCCCCCATCAGATCTACGGTTCTCATTTGATTACTGATGGATGAGTAACCAATGGTTACTCACTATATCCTAAGCTGGTAGGTGACCTTACGTAGAGCTACAACCTTTGAACTTTAACAAGAGTGACTGACAGATTGCATTGGTTATGTCTATTGAACTATGTGGCAATTGTACCTTCAATCGATAACTTCCAAAACGTGCAATCGATTTGGAAGTGGTTTGAAAGTTATGATTGTTTCTTTGATTTGTTATAATTGTTCAGTACGGAATATCATAAAAATAGACTATACTCACAAATAGAGGTGTCAAATGGATCGATCTATGGATTGGTGGATCCATGGATCAAATGGATTGGATCAAATGGATTGGTGGATTCATGGATTGAATCAAGTGGATTGGTGGATTATCCATGAATCCAAATGACATCCTCAACCAAGGACCAATATGTAAATTATGAAAAGTTTAGGTACTAAAATGTCTTAATAAAAAATTTTAGGTACCAACACGTAATTTTCCAATGATATTTTTTGTATAAAAATTAAATTTTGGGTACCAAAATGTAAAATATAAAAAGTATAGGTGCCAAACCGTAATTTGCCATTTGAATCCATGGATCAATCCATGAATTCACAAATCCAATTGGATTTGGATAAAATGGATTGGATTAGGTGGATATTTTTAATGGGTTGGTGGATTGGATTGAGAATTGCCATCTCTACTCACAGACACTAAAAATATAGACTTAGTGTTCCAATCAATTGATTTAAGCTAAAGTAGATATAAAAAAAAATGGAAGCTCTGTCATCGCAAGCATGAAGATATATATATATATATATATATATATATATATATATATATATATATATATATATATATTTATTTATTGTTATTAAAGAGTTTTTCAAAACAAAAAGAGTTGCTTGAAAGTTGTGATTGTTTGTGTGAGATTGTTACTATACTTGTACTCACTGGCGGAGCGAGATGGTAGGGAGGACTCCACTTGGATAAATTAAAAGAGTTATAGTCCTTATTCTAAAAATTTCTATTTCTACTAAATATGTGTACAAAAACCTCGAACTATATCTAAAAAGCTCGTAGTTCAACAAATCTTCCTATCCATATACAATTTCTTTGTCTTCAAATGTGTTTTATAAACGTTTATGTGTAATAGATTTTGCTTGGGAGCTATTTATTTTAGCTAGTTATTGAAATGTCACTTTCCAATTATGAGTTATACAAAATGTAAGGTACAAATCTAATAATTAATGGTTTGATGAATGACTACTTGACCGAATAGTTTTAAGATAATTTAATTATAATCGAATACAATGTTATAAGATTTTTTCGTATATGGGACCCCACTAAATTCGAATCTTGGCTACGCCACTGCTTGTACTGTTTAGAATGCTTTGTTTTTATGATTTTTAGTACACACAATACATGGATTGTTTATATCTTGAGATTGTTTTATCTCAGTTTTTAGTTTATGTGACATACACAATGACACATACCAAACACTGTATTTTACAATGTATCTAATACATGTATAATATTATACATGTATTCACAACACTAGATTTATTTGACAATCACAACTTCCAAACAATCTCTTAACTATATTTGAATTTAACTATATTATATACACTTTCAAATTACAACCCATAGATATATTCGTGGTAGCATCAACCATACACATCAACATACTTGTATTTATTTTTGTTTGACTCGGGTTTAATATTAGATTGTCGCTGGGAGTTTTCTAGGAGCACCATGATATAAGGTGATCGGCTCCGGGTTATCCAGTTTTTTAGAACATATTGCCCATTTTCGGAGACAAGGGGCGGAACGATCGCTAGATCTACTTACTGTTCGACTCAAAAATCTAAAGTCAGACCACACATCTTTATAAGTCTGGTTTTTGAAAAAGATAAAAAAAATCTTTTATAACATCGTAGCAGAAGCTTTGATTTGGAATTTCCACAAAAATCTGTTTTGAAAATAAAAAATTATATTTATCATATTTTATTTTTCTTCCATAAAATATAATTTTATTTCCATATAACACAATTCCCTTTCACTTATATCAGTCCCGGAGAGGGTACTTGATGTCAAGACTGTTTGAGTGTTTGCTATTCCTTTGCTTCTCTTGGCAATTGTGAATAGGCTGGTTTGGCACTATGACCCGACTGGGATTTAAACAGTTAAGTTGGGGTGCCATCTGACATTCGCGCAGAGCCGTAGTTTCGGTCGCTGGAAAGAATAGGCTAGTTGGATGGATCGTAAGCTCTGGAAGAAAACCTGGGAGTTGAAGATCCAACCAAAGCTAATATTTTTACTATGGCAGATCTTTAGTCGTATGTTGCCTACGGCGGAGGCTTTATTGGTGAAGGAGGTGGAGGTGTTGGGTCCTTGCCCTGTTTGTTGGGCAGATTTGGAAACGATGAAACACCTCTTCCTTCATTATCCGGTGGCCCAGTCTTTATGGGCAGCGGTTGGTCTTCATTATTTGATAGTTGGGGTGGATACATCTAATCTTATCATTTTCTCGCGCCGGGTTCTGGAGCATATATCTTCGCCGGAGACGAGCATCAGGCTAGTGGCAGTGCTATGGCGGATCTAGAAGGCCCGTAACTGGGTGGTGTTCTATTTCAAACAAGTAAATCTACAGGTGCTCCAGCTACATATGCAACACCATATTCTAGAATGGCGTGGCACCCTTCTGCAGGTTTTCCCCGGGATGCCAGCTGGTCATGGGGGCACGTGTTGTATACGCAGTTGGGTTCCATTGGCATATTGCTAAGGGGCTCAGTTCGGTGTGGATACGAGGGGAAGCTATAGAGATTATTGACAAGGTCAATGTGCGGTGCATGGCTAATGCTCAAGGCGACGCCCTTTATCATGAGATCCATGCTCTCAGACACGAGTATCCGGGAGTGATAGTATAGTTCGTTGGGAGACAAAACAATAGGGTTGCCCCATATTGTGAGGAAAGCTCTTGTATTGTCCGCTAGTGATGTGCTCTGTTTTGATTTTTGCATTTGGCTCCGTATGGAGTTGTAATCGTTCGATCTATTTTTATTGGTAATGCAAACTATCTTTGGTTAAAAAAATATCATTTAACAACAAAATAAACTAGAAAAATATTATTAAATATACATGAAATCCAACAAAATCCCTTTTGACTATTTTTTATTTATAATTTATGTTAAATATGTTAATAATATAACAATTAAACATTCAATTGTTTTTAGTCATTTTAAATTATCTCTAAATTTTTAAAAATATGTTAATAATATAACAATTAAACATTCAATTGTTTTTTTACGTATTTATTTAAAACTCCACCCAAAAGTTGCATTTGCAAAAAACTACAACCGAGCAAAACTAGTCCGAATGACCTTGGCTAACATTTCTATTAGCGAATCTTAAGAGGATAATGTTATATATGACATTATACATTAAATAAACGTAAGTTGCCTTGTTTCATGGATCAATATCCATTCCTTTGAACAGTTTCCCACCATATTAAGATTCAGAAACTACCTAAAAGCATTCCAACTTCATTCCTGGATTAGTTACCAAAATCACAAATGTGACAAACTCAAAAGGAAAGTATCAAAGCTTGATTCTTAATAAATAAAAATAAAATGTTTAGTTATCATATACCATAAGATCGATAATATCCTTATCGTCTAGATTGGAAAAATAAATCGTATCTCCTCGGCCCTCGCTACTAATTGCAAGTTAATAATTTATTGGGGATATGAAAATACGGATAAAAAAGCTGGACAAAAATGGTACTTATAAAACATTGTTTTTTCTTGACCTATGATGGGTTCTTAACTTATTTACTGTATTTTATTTTATCTGTTCTTTTCTCTTAGTTTTTTTCCCCTTTTGGAGGATGAACTAGGTTATAAAGAGTAATGATTTGTTACTTCATTACCCTACACTCACTTGAGACAAAGTCAAATTTGCGAATATATACATGTTTATCTTATAGTGAAGAAGTGGAAGGTATTTGTTTACTCATATTCTTGACTTGTTTTCTTTGTTGATTAGTCACTCCTTTTCCTTTAATTAAGTTGTATTTTTTATTTCCTTGGAAAATAATGAAACAAAAGTTATCGGAAGTGAATCGAAGAAGCTGAAGAGCACTCCGATAATTATGTTCTATATAAGAACTTTTAGTGAGTAAACTATAGGTAATAATTCTCTAAACCATAAAACCTTGAATGGTGCATTGAGTAAGTTGTATGTATTTTGATAACTCGAAACCATCAATTATTATTTTTAATTAAATTGATCTTAACGTATAAGATTTAAAGAATTAAGACATAAATTTTATTCATTAAGTTTTGATGTATTGTATAATGTCCGATTTCTCTCAATAAAAATAAAATGTCCGGTTACGATCAATTTAAGGTCTACTTAATGTTTTCTTACTGCTGATTAGTTATCCTGGATCTAGTAGGTAGCATATATACCCTATGTTTGGCTTGGCTTTTAGAAGTACTATTCGGCTTCAAAAGTTGAAGCAGAGCCAAACACTTCTAAAAGTTTGGCTTTTGAAAAACCGAAAAGCGCTTTTGTATAACATAAAAGCAGAAACTTCGATTTGGAGCTTCTGCGAAAAGCGGTTTTGAAAATACAAGATTATCCGTACCATATTTTAATTTTATTTCATTTATATCATTTTAAAAATAAAGTGAAGTATAAAATAATATTATTTAGGATTATAGGTATAATATGCCCCTCTACTATGATGCTTTATCAAACATGCCCCTCTACTATTTTTTACATCAAACATGCCCCTGTACTTTGTAAAAATTATCAAACATGCCCTTTTGTTAAAATTTTCATCCAAAAACCGTTAACCAAGGCCGAACTTTAGTTTGGGTGACACAAATGACTAAAATATCCATAATAAATTCACTTTAGAATTTTTTTCGTTCTTTTGTATAATCAAATCATTCAAATAATTTCACTTTGAAAAGACCCAGGGAAATAAAACAAGGGAAAAAACTGATATTTTCCCTCCCATTTGCCGATGTCGGGTCATTCGGTTTAACCACGATTGACGATTTTTTCAATGAAAATTTTAACAGAAGGGCATGTTTGATAATTTTTTCAAAGTACAGGGGCATATTTGATGTAAAAAATAGTAGAGGGGCATGTTTGATAAAACGTCATAGTAGAGGGGCATATTATACCTATAATCCTATTATTTAATATCAAAGAAGTCTAAGAAGATCCATTTTGACTACATTTTATTGTTTAAAATTATTATTCATAGTTTATATTGTAAATCCTTTATAGTCATTTTACATAACCTCTCATTTCAAAAAAACACTTTTAATAAAATTTCAACCAACACTCAAAGCTCAAACCAGAAACTACTTCTGCAAAATCTACCGCAGGGCCAAACCGAGCTATAAAAGTTCCCGCACAACAACTAGTAATTCTAACCATGTGCGTTTCAGCTTTTAGGTCCATAAATAGGTAGACCAAGCCCTAAATTTTATTGTTCATTCATAAAGACACTTCCACCAGCCATTGGACCAAAATTGAATAAGTTAAGTTACTAAAAACCTAATTAATTGTAATTAGTTGTGAAAAGCAAAGTTAATTTGGGAATAGAACAAATACAAGTCAATGAGAAATTTCAAACTTGCAAACATTACTTTGTCATGTTGTCATAATACGTTATCAAAACTCAAACATGTACACCATCACTAAAATTATATTACAACGTTGGCCTCACTAAATTACCAGTAATCATGTTGATAGCTTTTAAAATCGAAAAACACCACGACCGTAACGACCTCGATACCACTGAATTTCCAGTCTCATTTGTATACCTTGACCTTGTTATGACTTATGAGGGGGTGGTGTCCAGTGTTGGTGTGTCCAACTAATTAAACACAAAATTGTGAAACCTCACCCGTCAATATTAATTAAGGGTGGCGTTTATGTTTAACTACCACTCAACTAAGCCCAACTAAGCGTGTTTAGTGCCTTCGTAATTAACTATCCCATAATCCCATCCACTTAATACTCCAATCCGATTGTAAAAAAAATAATATCTAACAATTAGAATGGTGCCAGGTGAACAAATGTATGTTAATACGAGCTAACGAAGGAATCCACCAAGACTGAGGATTTGGAAGATGGAGTCGAACGCACGCAAAGTCACCCGCCGGCCGCCACCGCCCTTCACAAAATGGAGCAGGCTTACGTGGCTGTCTGAGCTGGACATATCAACTACCTGGATTGGCCACCAAGTGACACCATGGCGGGTACAGGCTGGCACTTGACACCACATCGCCACTCGCCGGGACAGCGTTACTATTCCACGCCCTTTCTTTCCTCTCGCAACAAAGACTACTAAATAGTAATTAATGTTTTCATTACCATTCAATTAATTAAGAAATTAAATCCAAAAATACCTTATTACTGCAGCAGCACAGTATAAACAAACAAAAAAAAAAAAAAAAAGGAAGGGGTCAAGGCAGGAAATATATATAGTAGGGCTGAGTCCAAGAACAAGAAGGCGTGCTTTGCGCTTCCAAAAAACAAAGAAAGAAAGAGAGAGAAAGGGAAGGAGGGAAGGGAGCAAATTCCCTAGTGTTCAACGGAGAAATTCAAGATCCCACAAACAAAGCAAACCAAACCAGCCGGCAAGGAGTGAACAGAGGTTGTATTTTGTGGGCGTGTTACAGAGGTGTTCTGGTTTTGGTGAAAAGGGCAAAGGAGGAGAAGGAGGAGTTTTCAGGGGATCTGCTTTGATTTTGTCCGCGTTGATAAATCTTCACCAAAGGAGGAGGGTGTTTCGCTTTGCCCCGCAGCCTCCTCATCGAATTGTCTTCTTCTTGTTCCTGTTCCTTCTTCCCGGCGAGGACGGATTCGGGTTTATAAAGTAGCAGAAGACACAGAGTCTCTCTCACCCAACAGCAGCAGAAGAAGAAAGTCCCAGAAAGAAAACAGAGTTTAATTTGCTCTGTTTTTTGAAGTCTAAGAGATCAGAAATCCGGTAGAGAAAAAAAACATGGAGTGGAGTGCTTGTCTAGATGAGTACGAGAAGCTTGTTATTAGGATGACTACTCCGAGGTTCGTAACTCTTCTTCTTCTTCTTCTTCTTCTTCTTCTTCCTTTCCCCCCTCTTTCTGGGGGGTTTTTTTTTTGTTCCCAAATTTGCTGTGTCTTTTCTTTCCCGGCAAAATCGTTCAGTTTCGTTCATCTGGGTTAGCCTCCCTTTTCCGTTTTCCGGCGAATTTTCTCGCCGAACCCACTTTAGCTATTAGCGCGGCGGTGGGTCGGTGGATTTATAGTTTAATTTTTGACCCAGTCTCTGTTTTTCTTCCTTTTGCCCTGTTTTTTCAAATTAATTTTCCTTCCAGTTTTCTATTCCGACGTCGTGGCTTCTGGAATTTCAACTAATTTTCTCTCCGTGTAAACGCGTCCCCTGAATTTCTTCGCTCTCTGACTTGAGTCAATCATCCACTTTGGTATCTTATTGACCCTTTTTCTCTTCTCTTCTCCAATTTACAGGGTAGTCATCGACAATGCCGTTTGCCCAAATTCCACCGTCGTCAAGGTAACAATCATTCATTCAAAACCCACCCAAGAAACAGAGCTCCACCCTTCTCCCCAGTTATCGCTTCAAGCAAAAGAAATTGACTAATCGGACCATTCTGCCTCTCTCTCTCTTTCAGGTTGACAGTGCTAGGAAACATGGCATTTTACTCGAGGCAGTTCAGGTCCTCACGGATCTCAACCTCTCCATTAAGAAAGCTTACATCTCCTCTGATGGAAGATGGTTCATGGACGGTGAGCCTTCCTTTTCTTTCCTTCTAAAACCCCCCTTTAATGGCGTACTTTTTCATCCATGTTCGGTTAAAATCCGTTGTTTAATTATCTTTCCCCTAATTTCCGATTCCTTTTTCTCTCTGCAGTGTTCCATGTAACCGATCTTAATGGAAACAAGCTAACCGACGAGAGCGTAATCAACTACATCGAGCAGGTAATTAACAGTAAT